GAGAGCTGGCAAGGAAAAACGCGGCTTCGGGCTTTCAAGTTTATTGAATATAATTTACGGGATTCAACCTTTGAAAAGTTTAATATATTTAAAAGCACGAAGTCCTGACACATAATATGTGTTGCTGATTAGAGGTTCAGTAAATAATATATAATAATAAATTTGAAAGCACAAAGTTTCATTTTCCCTTAGTAGCAACGTAAGTAACGTAAATATAGTCTTACCTCTTTTAAATTATTTATTAAATTTCGTGTTAGGGCCAATGTTTTAAGCTCCACTTTAGATGATGGTTTACGTGACCGTGTATATCCATATTCACCATTTTCAATTTTATGTTCATAATTTCGAATTCCATCTAACCAGGTTGCTAAAACTTTATCACCAATATTCTGAATATTCTTTAGTCTATTAAATGGAATCCATTCGATTACATCTTCGTAAGAAGTAGCTTTAAGTTGACATTCCTTAATGAAATTGTCGATATCCTTATTTCCACTTGTCCACCCTTGTGTTGTCTTTTGAGGGTCACATGTTTGACACCAAGATTTAGAAGTGTTATCTCGCTTACAATTTGCGCATTTTCCATTCCAATTGTTTCTTTTAGAACTAAATTCATCAAATACTAACACATATTCATTTGTGATTGTATTTTGAGTTAATCCATAAACATTTCTACACTCTAAATGACTCATGAATTGCACATAATTTTTAAACTTATAAAATATATAAACAATTTAAGTATAAATTAAATATACACTATTAATTAAATTACACATGATAAAGTAATATGAACTCACTTCTTTTAAAGTATTTTGTGATTGAGTCAATGTTTTAAGTGTAATTATGCATGGTGGTGTGCGTGATTGTGTATATCTATCTTCACCACCTACAAATTTTTTATATCGTATTCCATCTAACCAAGTTGCTAAAACCTTATCACCGATATTTTTAATATTAACTAACTTATTAAATGGGATCCATTCGATTACATCTTCGTATTCAGTAGCATTAAGTTGAAATTTCTTAATGCAATCGTCGATATTCTTATTTCCACTTGTCCATCGTTGTGCTGTCTTTTGAGGGTCGCATGTTTGGCACCATGCTGGCGATGTGTTATGTCGTTTGCAATTTGCACATTTTCCATGACTTTGATGCCTCTTAGAACCAAATTCATCAAATACCAACATATACTCATTCGTTGCGGTATTTTGAGTTAGTCCATATACTTTATTATTCTTCAACCGTACATAATCTACAAACTTATTAAACAAGTAAATATATGGTGTATTAAAATAAAGCCATATAGTATGTAATAAAGATAAATTATTAAGGGACAGTCCGCAGTTAAAGGGTAAAAAATATGGCAGAGTTTTACCATAGCTAGAGGTGTTATGTGGTCTGGTCTTAGACTAATAGACCACAGTTAGTCTTAAGATCAGTCTGAACCCCAAAAATGGGTCTGCCCTAAGTCTTAAGACTGGAATGGTCTGGACTAGCAAATTCTTAAAACCGACTAAAATTGACCAGACCGAACCAGACTGAACCAGACTGGACTGTTAACATCCCTAACTATAGCATTCAAATAGTGATGGAATGCCGAACATAAAAAAATCATATAGCTGTATAATATCGTGTGGATTTACACGAAAGATCTTATCACTAGAATTGTAATAACATATTATTTAAAGATTCAAAAGATGTTTACTTAGTAAAAAATACATTTCATTGTGGTGAATCGGCATTCCTCTACCTTAAATTTCGGACTATGATATTTAGTAATGTTTATGTCCTTTAACTGCGATCTACCCCCTTAAATACTTTAGCTTACTTCTTTTAACATTTCTATTAAACTTTGTGTTCTATTTAATATTCTAAGCTCCACTACGCATGATGATATACGTGACTGTGTATATTTATATTTTGTATTAAATTCACTATATATACTTTCATTTTTATGTAAATATCGTATTCCATCTAACCAGGTTGCTAAAAATTGATCCCCGTTTTTTTGAACATTAACTAACTTATTAAATGGAATCCATTCGATTACATCTTCGTATTCCGTAGCTTTAAGTTGAAATTCTTTAACACAATCATCAATATCTTTATTTCCACTTGTCCATCCTTGTGTTATCTTCTGAGGGTCGCATGTTTGGCACCATGCTTTAGATGTGTTATATCGCTTGCAATTTGCACATTTTCCATTCAGAATACTTCTTTTATTATAAAATTCATCAAATACCAACACAAACTCTTTTGTATTTGTGTTTTGAGTTAATCCATAGACACTTCTCTGCTCTAATTGCACATGATTTTTAAACTTATAAAATATATAAACAATATAAGTATACACTATTAATTAAACTACACATCATAAAGTAAAATGATCTCACTTCTTTTAAAATATTTTGAATATTTTGTGTTCTACCCAATATTTTAAGTGTAATTGTACTTGCTGGTGTACGTGACTGTATATATTTAGTATTTAGATATCGTACACCATCTAACCAAGTTGCCAAAAGCCGATCACCATTCTTTTGAATATTGACTAATCTACTAAAAGGAATCCACTCGATTACATCTTCATATTCAGTGGCTTTAAGTTGAAATTCTTTAATACAATCGTCGATATCCTTATTTTCACTTGTCCATCCTTGTATTATCTTCTGAGGGTCACATGCTTGACACCATGTTTTAGATGTGTTATATCGCTTGCAATTTGCACATTCTCCATATTTATAATTTCTTTTAGAACTAAATTCATCGATCATGATTGTAAGATGTTACAGACAGTGTTTGAAATCTGAGATTAAATCAGTGTTCTCATATTCTATTTAGTGGTTTTAGAGTCAGATTTTGGGTGTTCTCTAATATAAAAATCAGCTTTCAGCTGTTCTTACTCGCAAATTTGTGTTCTCATGAGAACTCTGAGAACACTAATGGTTACAGATCGTTTTGCGGTATATACAGTAATATATACATGTATAACAAGATATGTACCACAAATATTTACATACTTCTCACCAGTTTAAATATAACGGCCATCTTTCAATATCGTACTTTATCCAGTGCAGTTAATGGAGAAAAGTATGGACATGTCGCACAAAAAAGAAATGTTAACAGCTCAAAAATTAATTATTATAACTTGATTTAAAGTATTAAGTAAAAAAAAAATCTATCAACAATTTTGCATACAATCATTGTGACTAAAGTTGACACTAACCGAAGTTGCAACTTCAGTTGACTGAAATTACCGAAGAAACCAAACATTGAAAATTAATGCGTGCAAGATGATCTTCGATTCCAGTCGGGTGTCAACTTCAGTCACGACATAATCACATATCGATATAGATAAGCCAAAGAAATTTGTGAACATAGTAACGTGACAACACTGCCTTATCATTTAAAAAACCAGTTAATTTGAAATAGTATTTATGGATATATCGATATGCTTATACCAGACAATCACGTGAAATGTTTCAATTTTCAGTGACTAATAAAATTAATGTATTTGCACATACTGCGCCAAAAACATATCATTTTTTAAAACACTACAACCTTTTAAAGACAAATTCTTTTAAAAAAAAATAACTGATAACTTTATACACAAAAATGAGCTTTTTTAAAAAATACTTCTGTAGAAAGTTACAGCTGTTCGAAAAAAAACCAAATCTTTATATCAGTATGACTCTTTATAGAACTTTTTTAAAAAAATTACCTGATAACTTTGTAGAGCTCATTTCTGTATAAAATTATCAGTCAGTTTTTTGAAAAAAATTGTCTTTAAAAAGTTTTAGCGTTTTAAAAAATACCGTCTTTTTGGCGCAGTATGCGCAAGAATGTCGAAATACATTGATTTTATTAGTCAATTACAGTCATGAGAAAATTGAAACATTTCACATGATTGTCGGGTATAAACTTCCGGCACCATATGTCCAATAATTTCGAAACACAAAATTGAAAAGAGATTTTTATCCATAATAAAATATGATAAATCTAATTACTAGTAGTATTTTAGTATTGAGTATTTAATGGATCAAAATATAAAGTTTTGTTCATGAAGTTATTGAACGGATTAATTGTTATAGAAGCTCGGCCGCCCAACCATTATCGCATCAGATTCATCATCTCAAGCGCCTAGGTGTAAATTAACTTCTTTCATAACTCAGACATCAATTACAAAATAGAATGTGATTTTTATTATCTACGTGATTGGTACTTGATTCTCTAAAAAAAAAAAGCCTAGTCCCTAGAAATCCTTCACTAATGCTAACCTTTTAATCCTAACTTTAATAGTAAAAGTATACCACAATTGATATGTTTTGATACTAATCCTTTGTTAGTACCAATTTACAAATATATAATTTCTATTATCTGTTATGTACGCACGTACGTACAAATTACAAGTGTTTCTTTACACGAATGTATAACGATAATACGTATATAGTCTATATTTTATTTAACTATTAATTTTAACAGACGGCTTTTTTTATAAATTAAATAATATACTTAGAGTTAGGGGTCTGTGCAGACCAAGCATAAATTGAAAAAGTTCAGAAAAAATATACATATATATATATTGAGGGCCGTGCGGGCCGGCAAAAAAAGAGAGAGAAAAAAAAAAAAAGAGTATCATATTTTATTATATTAGGTTAACAAGTCTCTAAAACTAATTGTTTTAAAAAAAAAAATAAAAATATAATGATAATTATATAAAAAAAGTATAATTGTATTTACCACGCTTATCTATTAAAAGTATAGGTTTTTTATTCTTTATCGGTATTTCCCAACAAAACAATTTTAAACCAATTACTGGCAGACCAGTAATACAGTAACGGTAATAGATAATCGTAAACTCTTATATATATTTATATTAGGTGGTCAGATGACATGTACAAATCGTGGGGTTCTAGATTACCGTAACCGTCAGGAGTTGTGCAAATTTAAAAAAAAATGAATCAACAGCTTTTGAATGTTTTTTAATCTTTTATTTGATAAGCATGGAATCTGATAGTCAAGAAGAGATTGCAACGTCAACAAACCACTCAAGTAAACGTGAAAAGAAATCTAAGAAAAAAGTTAAAGTTGAAAAATCTTCAACTGTCTCTGGCTTCAAAGTTGATATCGAAGAAAGTAAAAAAATTAAGGGTAAATCCGAAAAGAAAATTTTTAATTTAACAAACCCGGCCAGCGAAAATTCTATTAGTAATGGATCTAGTAAACAAAATGATAAATTGGAAGAAAAGAAAAGAAAGTGGACTGAAGAAGACGATTTAGAAGAATTATTATCTCCTATAGTTGTAATAGAGAGTTTTAAAAAGAAAAAAGGTGATATTTTTAATAAATCAACTCTTAATGGAGATATCAAGAAGAAAGCCAATGGGTTACGTAATGAATTAGATGAATTCAACAGAAATGGACCTTTGGTTAAAAGCAAAAAAGATAGTGAAAAAAAAAAAAAAGAACAGAAAAAAAAAAAAAAGAAGAAACTTGATGATGAAGACTACGTCGATAGCATTAAAAAGAGCAAAGGAAAGGGTAAAAGTCTGAAAAAAAAATCCGGGAAAACTTTGTCAAGTAAAGCAAAAAAAAGGAAGTACATAAACGTTGACGAAGATAGTGATGATACCAGCAGCTTAAGTGACGCAAGCAGCGTGGACAATGAGGATGATGAAACGTTGATGTCTAAAATGGTGGCTAGTGTTGTTATAAATAATACAAACAACAAGTATCAAGAACACCCAACGCTTGCATCACTTCCTCAATCAACTATCGATGAGTTCTTTAACACAAACGTAATTCAAGTTGTGGGTGATTCAGCACTTAAACCAATTATGTCGTTTGAACAATTGATGGTAGACAAAGAAATTAAACGTGTTTTGGCAAGATTTGATAAACCAACACCAATCCAGGCTACTTGTTGGCCTCTTTGCTTGAGCGGAAAAGATGTAATCGGAATTGCTGAGACTGGGTATGTATTTTAATTTTTTTTTTTTTTTTTTTTATCTTACGAAAATAACTTTAAATTCACAATTTCTTAATTATTTTTAGCTCAGGCAAGACTCTAGCTTTTATTGTGCCCGCAGTTATACATATTAAAAGTCCTCCCTACAGTCCACCTAATCATCAGCCTTTCGCTCTTGTCCTTGCACCAACACGCGAACTAGCCATTCAAACACATAAACAGTGTGAAATGTTTGATTCAACATGTGGAATTAAAAGCGTTTGTGTATATGGTGGTGTAACCAAAGGTGAACAACGTAAACTATTGCGAAAAGGTGCTCATATAGTGATTGCTACACCTGGTCGCTTACTTGATTTTGCTACTGATGGCGTATGTGATATAAGCAATGTTAAATACCTGGTACTCGACGAAGGTGAGCTTTATCATGAAATTTATTCTAATAACTTTATAATTCAAATAATATAAATTTTTATACAGTGTCAATACTTAACTATATATCGACAATTCTTAATTATATATTATCAATTTTTTTTTTTAGCTGATCGTATGCTCGATACAGGATTTGAAGAGGAAATTCGTAATATCATTCTAAAAACACGAAAGGATCGTCAGACTGTAATGTTCTCAGCAACATGGCCCGATTCTGTTCGTAAATTGGCTAATGATTTCTTAACCAACCCAATTCGAGTTACGATTGGCTCACAAACCCTATCTGCAAATAAAAATGTTACCCAAATAGTGGAAGTAATTGATGATCCATCGGAAAAAGATCGTCGACTCGTAACTCTTTTAGAAAAGTATCATAACCGAAAAAATAGAGTTTTGATATTTGTTCTTTATAAAAAGGAAGCTTCACGTGTTGAGAATATGTTGGCACGTAAAGGATATGAAGCGCAATCTATTCATGGTGACAAAAGTCAATTTCAACGCATAGAAGCACTAAATGCATTTAGAGATGGGATTTATCCGCTTTTGATTGCAACTGACGTTGCATCAAGAGGATTAGACATTCCTGATGTAAAATATGTAATTAATTACACGTTTCCGCTAACTATAGAAGATTATGTTCATCGTGTTGGACGAACCGGACGTGCTGGCAATAAGGTATTTATTTAATTACTTACTACTAATTTAATTACGTGTTTTTTTTTTTAGTAAAAAAGACAATTACTAATATTTATAACTTTTAAATTTTCATTTATTTTATAGGGAATTTCCCATACTCTCTTCACATCTTACGATAAAGTACATTCAGGAGAACTTATTAGAATATTACGTCAAACCAATCAACAAATACCTGACTCGTTACTTCGGTTTGGTACTGGCACTAAAAAGAAGGAACATAAAGCTTATGGTGCTTTCTATAAAGAAATTGATCATAATGTAAAACCTACGAAAATCAGATTTGAGGATTGAACTCTAACAGAAAGGTAAAGATGGATAGATAATAATGATGTATACTTTATATATTACATATATTATTACATTACAAAGATTAGCAGATATCTTATTAGCAAATTTGTAATTTTGAATTGGGTGTGCCAGTACTTATATATATGAAAAACGATGGTGATATGGATTTATTCAAGGTTAGCATTGATGTTTCACTAATTATAAAATGGATCTCATGAATCACCTTAACGTTAAATGATATAGTAATTACATTAAATGAAGGTTTTTCACATGGGTTGATCCCGACTATACCGACCAAAAAAAGCAATATCTGATAGATTAAACCTGACATTCTAACTGGAATTATTTTTAATATTCCGACTTTTTTGCTTCACATAAACTCATATAATGAAGGTGTAACAAAAAAATAAAAAACAAAAAAAATAATGTAATGATGTCAGTTGTATACTATTGTTTTTAAAAAACATGCTGTATGTAAATAAAATTTTATTAATCATTAGCAATTTTGATTCATAAATTCATAATGCTGTAGTTTCAATTAATGTAAATATGTATAATATTTGAAAAAATATTTAGATTGTGAAATTTTTTTTATTAATTTACATTACTGTAATTTAAAAAATAACTACATATATATAGATATAATAATGAATAAGTTTTTTTAAACTTATTTTTAGGGTTAAGTTAGGTTTAAGATTAAGCTGGTTAATGGAGAAGAGGATAAGTTGGTTAATCATAATGAGAAAGAGGATAAATAACTTAAAATATAATTGTAATAAAGTTTTCACGAATTTAAGTATTAGTTTCACGAATCTATTAATATATATTTTTGTAACAACTTAGTAAACAAAAACGTAGTTTAAGTTGAACAAAATACGTAATTTAAATAAAAAACGTCATACGTAACGACCAAGTTTTACCTCTAACGGATTAATAACATAATCTCGAATGATCTGGTAGAATGACCTGATAATAAATCGGATAAATGAACTCCGAATTGTAAAACCGTAAAACTATAAAAGCGTTGACAAATTTCTTCTGCCTTTTTTTTCCATCTTTCAGAAAATAAAATTTTCAAACTATTTAAACATTAAAACAAAATAATTTTATATAAAAGCAATTATAACAATTGTAAATACCCAAACTATTAAACATGCAGATTTTCGTTAAAACCCTTACTGGAAAGACTATTACCCTTGAAGTCGAATCTTCTGATACTATTGATCAAGTTAAGCAAAAGATCCAAGACAAAGAAGGTATCCCACCAGATCAACAACGTCTTATTTTCGCAGGAAAACAACTTGAAGACGGTCGTAGTTTAGCTGATTACAATATTCAAAAAGAATCAACTCTTCATCTCGTGTTACGTCTTCGTGGAGGAATGCAAATTTTTGTCAAGACTTTGACTGGTAAAACCATTACCCTTGAAGTTGAATCTTCTGACACCATTGACCAAGTCAAACAAAAGATTCAAGATAAGGAAGGTATCCCACCAGATCAGCAACGTCTAATTTTTGCAGGAAAACAACTTGAGGACGGTCGTTCTTTATCTGATTACAATATTCAAAAGGAATCTACTCTTCATTTGGTATTACGTCTTCGTGGTGGAATGCAAATATTTGTTAAAACTCTCACTGGTAAGACAATTACCTTGGAGGTAGAATCCTCTGACACCATCGACCAAGTTAAACAAAAGATTCAAGATAAGGAAGGTATTCCTCCAGACCAGCAACGTCTCATTTTTGCAGGAAAACAACTCGAAGATGGTCGTAGCTTGTCTGATTACAATATTCAAAAAGAATCAACACTTCACCTTGTATTACGTCTTCGTGGAGGAATGCAAATCTTTGTTAAAACTTTAACTGGCAAGACAATTACCCTTGAGGTAGAATCCTCCGACACAATTGACCAAGTTAAACAGAAAATTCAAGATAAGGAAGGTATTCCTCCAGACCAACAACGATTGATTTTCGCTGGAAAACAACTTGAGGATGGTCGTAGTTTAGCTGATTACAATATTCAAAAAGAATCAACTCTTCATCTTGTATTACGTCTTCGTGGAGGAATGCAAATATTCGTCAAGACACTTACAGGAAAAACCATAACACTTGAAGTTGAATCATCCGATACGATCGATCAGGTAAAACAAAAAATTCAAGACAAGGAAGGTATTCCTCCAGATCAGCAGCGATTGATTTTCGCTGGAAAACAACTTGAAGACGGTCGTAGTCTAGCTGATTATAATATTCAAAAAGAATCAACTCTTCATCTCGTATTACGTCTTCGTGGTGGTATGCAAATCTTTGTTAAGACCCTTACGGGTAAAACTATAACACTTGAAGTCGAATCCTCAGATACAATTGATCAAGTTAAACAAAAAATTCAAGACAAGGAAGGTATTCCACCGGATCAACAACGTCTTATTTTCGCGGGTAAACAACTCGAAGATGGCCGTAGCTTATCCGATTACAATATTCAAAAAGAATCAACACTTCATCTTGTATTACGTCTTCGTGGTGGTCAATAAAGATTCATTGAATGTAGGATATTGATTAAAGATGTATTAAATCGATAGGATAGACAAACATAATTATTAGAAGATAGTTATTACATATATATTTAAAGATAGTTATGTATTATCAATTACAATTTATTTATTGTATGTAATGATATATGCATTTAATGTCTTAATAAAATTAATGTGCAGACAGGTTTTTATAAAAAATTAATTATCTTGATTATGTTGAAACTTTATTTTTCAAATTATTGTGGTAAAATTAATTAAATACATGCATTATAAAAAGTTTTTGTTTTAAACAAAAAAAATAAATATTACAAGAATTTAATTCCCCAAAATATTCCCAAGGTTCGAAGACAAATACACTCTAAAATAGGAACCATGTATAAAAAATAATTAAGATGCGAAGTTCAATATACAAATTACGAGTATATCTCTTTATAATGAACCTCTAATAAATTTTAAATATAAAGAACCACAAAATGTTAAATTTTATACTAGTTCGGTATAGAAAGTGTAATGTCCCTTATGATAAACCATTTCCTTCCAGAACCATTTGTTCATTATAAAGAGATACTTCTAAAATTATTAACATATTACAAGTAATATTATACATCCTTTGAAAAAAATATAAATATTCTAATGTTTTAAAAGGGAATAGTTATTCCAACTTATCCAAATGATCTAATCGTGTTAATACAATATTTTTACTAGTCTCTTCAATTTCTCCTGCTAAAAAAACTTCATCAAGAATTGCATAAACCTATAATAAAAGATATAACAAAGATAAAAAATCTCATGTTAGTTATTATATGTAAAGAAAAAATAAAGATATTATAATAATCGTAATACATTTATTTACTTTGTAAAAATTAAAAACCAAATCTAATTCACAAACGTTTCCGAAAAATGCATCCAAAACTTCAACAAAAAAATGTATAGCTTCTAAATAAGCTATTTCATTATCATTAGCATCTACACATACACAAAAAAATAATCCAGCATATCGACGGTATACAATTTTGTAATTACGAAACTATTTTGAATCAAGAAACTTTTGTAAATTATTATTATTATTAATTAAATAATATAAAAAAAAAATATGCTTTTAATACGTGCCTCTACAAAATTTGATTGATGTTTTTGATCTCTTGGTGCAACAAGTCTATGAACTTCACCTTTTAATTTTACTTTCTCTTCGTCTTCATATGGTACATACCATTTTGAAAGTCGAGTTTTACCTTGACGATTTTGAACTAAAATAAATCGAATCTAGAAATAAATACATATAAGTACTTGCAAACAAAAAAGATTCGTAAAAAATATGTGCGATTTTTTTTTTTTACCATTATTATTTTTGAATTTTTAAGAGTGTTAAGAGTAGGTACGAATTATGTATTTTTAGACTTAATTTAAAGTGCAGGAACCACGTGTTTGTATGAAATTTAATTGGTAAAGTGAAAATAACCGTTTTGAACAAAGCTGCATCAGCTTTTATTATTCTGTCACAAAGCTCATGTACAAACCAAACGAAATAAATTCTATTTTTTTAGAAATCTGTAATAGAGGTTGGAACCGGTTCTAATAATTCGGGTTTATCACATGAATTTCGTGATATTAAAGAATTTATTAAAATTT